CGCTGTCGTGAACCTTGGCTTGTGGTTGCGCACTCGTGGATTCTGTGACTCCCTTCGCTTTCAAAGCGCGCACGACGATTACGAACGATACTTTCCGTCTTCCGGGAACGTCACAGGGGCACTTCTCCGGTCACGTCTTCGCTACATGTGCTCGCAAACCGCGTCAAACCAAAACAATACCAACAATACCGCGGCCTGGCGTAGTTGCCAGATCTTGCCGGAAGTCGAGACGCTGCGTCGTTCAACTCCGCAACGCAAGGAGAGTGAGGGGCGGGGCGTACTCCTCTTCCGCGGGGGTCGAAAGAGCGGGAGTTTCAAATGTGGAGAGGTTCTGACACTACTAAATTACGTCCTGTGGCGTAAATATTGATAAAAAAAATAATTTTTTTCGCGGAACATTTGTTTTGTGACATGCTTGTTCCAATTAGGCTGTTTAAAAAAAAACTTTTTTTTCTTTGCAGTTACCCTTTAACGGGAAGCGTGCCGGTGTGTAGCTGAAAAAAGAAAGACTTCACGGTTGGCCTTACTGGCATCCGTTTAACTCTTTTGAGGACATCCTGGCCCGGGCCCTCACAGAAAAGAGACCTATACAAAGGCACAGGGAAGACCACCTCGACTAAGTCTTTGTACAGGCGCTTTCGTGTAACTTCGCTTAAGTACTCCAACGAAAATCGAACCTTGAGAAAATGGAAAGCCAAAATCACTTCGCGCAGAAAACCTCGAACCCGCGTACATCTGACATCACTCGAGGACACAACAAACTCAGACAATGCATTACGGAGCCTAACTTGTAATACAGACCGCAGAAAAGGATCCCCCTGATCCCGCAGGAACATAAATCTTGACACCACTTGTCGCAGAAACAGATGAGCCAGTCCTAGCCCGCCACTTTTCACAGAGCGGAACAAATTTGTACGACCGGTGCGCTCCCACACCGACCCCCACACAAAAATCGCGAACACTCGGTGAAACTTTTGAACGCTTACTCTAGACATACACAAAGCCTGGAGCACGTACCAGACTTTAGCAACGATAAACAAATTACAAACTGTGGAGCGAGCAAACATTGAAAGATTTAGACCCCCCCACTTTGCCGTTTTATCCCGAGCCCTCTCGACTTCTTCCCTCCAGTACTCAGTAGAATCGCGGTAGTGCTCAAGCGGCACTCCGAGGTACCTGCCCGGCAAACAAGACCAAGTAACTCTTTCAAAAACAGCTGGTGTACTTTCCCAGCTACCATGCCAGTAGCCCACGCATTTATCCCAATTGATAACACTGCCCGAAATTTTACAAAAATTAAGTGCTTCTTTGACTACCTCGCAAATACTTTCTTTGTCGTCGCAGAAGATAGCAACGTCGTCTGCGTACGAAAGTACCTTGATTTCACTCGACAACAGCCTAAAACCGCGTATTCTTTCATTGAAAAGAAGTTTTAAACAAAAAGGCTCTAAATAGAGAGCAAACAACAATGGTGATAATGGGCATCCTTGCCGTACCGAGGAGAGTACTTGAAAACTTTCAGTAACTTTCTTATTAACAATCACACTCGCAAAACACTCCGCGTAGGACATTTTAACCCATTCCAACAATAAAGACCCAACGTTCACGTGCTCTAAAATACAAAAAAGGACGTCGTGTGCTACTCTACCGAACGCCTTTTCGAAATCAAGCTGCAACATGGCTACGCGACCTTCGAAAGCATCACAACATTCCAAGATACTTCTTGCTACGTGTATGTTAGTTGTAATCGTTCGCCCCTTGATGCCACATGTTTGGTGGGGCCCGACAACAGATTTTATTACACCTTGCAGCCTTCGCGCTAAGACCTTCATGACGATTTTATAGTCAACGTTTGTTAGGCTAATGGGACGGTAGGACTTAACAGACAACAGTTTCGCGGGATCATCACTTTTGGGGATTAATACTATATGCGTTTTCTGGAAGGATGGAGGCACTGCTTTTCTATCGTACGCCTCCGCTATCGTGCGGTGCAGGACCTCCGCCACATCAGCTTTGAAAGCCTTGTAGAAGGCGGCACCTAAGCCGTCGGGACCGGGCGATTTCCCTGGATTCAGTTCGTCGATAGCCTTCTCTATTTCTCTCACGCTAATCGGTGCCTCAAGGTCGGCTTTAATTTCGTCATCTAATTTTGGCATGAGTGGCAAAAGGACGCTGGCAAATCCTTCTTCCACGTGTCTGCGGCGACCCAAAAGATTTTGATAATATTCCACGAAGGCGCGTTCGATGGTCTTTTTATCGCGAGTCACCACGGCCCCATGCTCTATTTCTTTTATTTCATTTTGCGTCGCATATCTTTTTTCATTCCCAAGTGAACGCTTCGTCGGCGTTTCACCCAACCACAGACGTTCGGCGCGGGCTCTTATCACGGCTCCTCTATATTTTTCGACATCGATAAGCTCCAGTTTACTTTTAACTTCTTTTATTTCTCTCGTAAACTTTCCGGGTTGTGCACATTCAACGCTTAAAAGGAAATCTAACTGACACTGTAGCTCTTTTTCTTTTTGCTTTTCCTGGCGGCGTAAGATACACGATCTTTCAATCGCGCTGATTTTGACTTCATCTTTAAAGCGCTCCCACAGTACAACAGAGTTTCCCGACTCAGCCTCCAGCAATTTCCCAATGCTTTGTTTTACCCCGTCCATAAAAATCTCATCTCTTAGTAGCTTATCATTAAATTTCCACAATTCCCAGTTGAACTGCGATTTTGTTTCTTTCGATCCGATTGAAAATATTACCAGACTATGATCACTGAAAGAAACGTGTTTCACTTCGTAATTCTCGCACAGGGGAACCAGGGCTGCGGAGATATACGCTCTGTCTAGCCTCGCGTGACTCTCGCGTTGGAAGTGTGTAAACTGGGGAAAATCTGCCTTCGACAAAACAAACCCGACGTCCTCTAAATTTGCACTCCTGCACTAACGAGTTCAAAAATAAAGCACTCTGGTCCCGAAGCGGCAGCTGTCGCGCCCTGTCTTCTATTGCGCAGACGCAGTTAAAATCACCCAAAAAAATAACAAATCTTTCACAGTTCAGATAAGCTTCAACGCGTTCAAAAAACATTCTCCTATCACTCTCCCGGTTTGGCGCATAAACGCAGATAGCTCGCCACTGCAACCCCGAAAAAGAAAAATCACAAACAATCAAGCGGCCTGATTCACAAACAATCACTGTTTCTTCCACAATTCCCAAAGAATTACGCAAAAAAAGAGCACAACCCCCTGATGTATCAACGGAGTGGCACACACATACATTGTATCGCGATCTGAAAGGTTGCACCATGCGGTCCGTTTGCTCTTCGCCTTCCACCTTTGTCTCTTGGACAGCGACTACGTCAAGGTCGTTTTCCAGGAAAAGGCGGCTCAGCTGGTACTGCCGCCGCCTTGCTCCCAGGCCTCGCACGTGCAGCGTAGCGACGCGAAGCGCTGTCTCAAGGCTTACTGCCATCAAAAACTAGATCAAACGGGCCGCATGGTGCACAGCTCAAGTCGCTGAAAAACGACGACAGACTCACAGTCCCGGTGTGCCGCCCGGTGGGTCCGACGAGAGGGTTCGCCGAAAGTTCGGGCCACAAAGCGGCGGCACGAGGACATCGTCCCCTCAAAGTCTTGTCGGTTTCCAGTCCGAGAAGAGGTGCCCAACAAAAAACGGGTTATCGCACCTACGGGGGTGGTGTCGCCGGTGGTCGCCTCTCCGGAGGGATGTTGCGCTTAGGCTTGAGGCTTGCCCGACGCACAGGAGTCGCTTTTCGGGGCGGTTCCTCGGGAAGGACCGCACTTACGATTAGACCTTCGTCGACGTCTTCGCGAGCCCGCTTGGGGACTGCGCCGCTGGAGCCTGCCTCCCCGACACTCATGGCTTCCGACTCCTCGCTGGGCGTCGCCGCCACAGCCGAAACTGCGGTCTCTGTGACACCTTTCGAAGCAGGGGTACCGTCCACAGGCAGCGCCTCAGGATGACGGCGTCGCTCACCGTCGTTCCTGCTGTCGGCTCTGTCCCCGGCGGAAAGCCCGGTGGGCGTCGCCTCTGTAGGAGGCTCGCCACCTTCGCCTCCGGCTGCTTCTTGGGACTCGACCACATCCATGAGTAGCTCGGACGTGTCCTCGTTCCCCACGGGCCCCGTGACGCTAGCGTACGTCCTTATGCACTGGCTGTCTTCGTGGCCGAAGCGCCGACAGAGAGCACAACGCGGCACACGACACTCTCGACGAATGTGGCCTTTCCCTCGGCACCGAAGGCACAGCGGCGCCCTGCCCGGTACAACCACGAGCGCCAGGTCCCCAGCGACGCGCAGCTGATGAGGGAGGGAGTCCACGGTGAGTCCGGCCTTGAGCCTGATGGACACCGAGCGCGTCGTGGACAACATGCAGGCGCACCCCTGGGCCCGCCACACGTCTCTGGCGACTTCCGTCACCTTTCCGTAGGGCGCCAAGGCCACTCGCACTTCGTCGTCCGGGACGTGGTGCAACAGCCAGTGGAGCTTCAGCCGCGTGTCCTGGTTGCTTGGGTCGACAACGACGCACCGTCCTTCCTTGACTGTGATATCCCCGGCGGCGAGCAGTTTTTTCTTGCCCTCGACACTCTTGAAGGTGACGGCCCAAACGTGGTTGTACTGGTACGCCCCCAAGGCGAGCACTTCGGGGAGCAGCGCCAGGCCAACCAGGGCGTCACGAAAATGTTCCAGACGGTATGGCCTCATGGTCACATCGGCGTGCAAAAAAGCAGTATTCAAAATTGTTGTACCTGTTGGAAGCGTTGGCAGGATAACTTGGTAGTCCTGTTCGGCAGAAGCCATGTTCCTGTTACCGCGGCCAGCGGCCGCTGAACCCGCTCCGACGGAGCTCATGCTCACACGTCCTTTCGCTTCGGCGGCCGGAAGTGGAATCGATTGCGCCACGGAGGCGGGTGACAACCTCGATCTCCTTTGGTGGTGACAACGTGTAAAGTCTGTCTAAAACGTCCTTCCAGACGCCGTTGGAGAGTCATTCGTCAGTACCTGGGCGCATAAAAAGTGAAGCCCTCTAGCCTCGCCTCCGGGAGGGCTCGAACCTCCAGCCTTCCGGTTAACAGCCGAACGCGCTAGCCGATTGCGCCACGGAGGCGGGTGACAACCTCGATCTCCTTTGGTGGTGGCAACGTGTAAAGTCTGTCCAAAACGTCATTCCACACGCCGTTGGAGAGTCATTCGTCAGTACCTGGGCGCATAAAAAGTGAAGCCCTCTAGCCTCGCCTCCGGGAGGGCTCGAACCTCCAGCCTTCCGGTTAACAGCCGAACGCGCTAGCCGATTGCGCCACGGAGGCGGGTGACAACCTCGATCTCCTTTGGTGGTGGCAACGTGTAAAGTCTGTCCAAAACGTCATTCCACACGCCGTTGGAGAGTCATTCGTCAGTACCTGGGCGCATAAAAAGTGAAGCCCTCTAGCCTCGCCTCCGGGAGGGCTCGAACCTCCAGCCTTCCGGTTAACAGCCGAACGCGCTAGCCGATTGCGCCACGGAGGCGGTTTTTTTTTTTTTTTTTTCTTTTTTTTTTTTTTTATTGCCTGTTTTGACAAAAAACAAAATTTACACACAATGTTAAAATCACATACACGGTGGACAGTACGCGTGCATGGACTAAAATTCTTTTAAGTTCTCCAGTACATCTAGAGTTGGCATCCAGTCAGGCTGGCACTCTAAAGAGGAATAGACAGATTTTAGTTTCCAGACAGATTCTATAAAATACAATCTTACTGGGCGCACGTCCACATCAGCATGCCTAACCGCCATTCTGCTACGCCATATTGCATGCAGACCCAGGAGCATGACAAGATCCGCAGGAATTTCGTTATTTTTTTCCACGGGAAGGAACCTAATACCATGTGGTGTTAACGGTAAATCTTTTTTGATAGTCCGCTGGAGGACGTCCCAGAACAGTAAAGCGTCCCAGCAGTCTAGGAATACGTGTTCAATAGTTTCCGGCCTTTTACACAAAAAACAGTCAATACCCCATGGAACAAAAATATTTCTTTGGTCAAGCCACTTTTTCACAGGAAGGCAGTTTGTGTGTAGCTTAAAGAAAAATGTTTTTATACACGGTGCGACTGTCATCTTTTTGACTCTGGACAAAACGTCTTGCCCTGGATCTGCATGAAACAGAGCGCGGTACACAGGCATAGGAAAGACACTATCAATAATATCACGCGTTAAACGCTTTCGCGTGACACTCGCCAAATACTCCTGGGAGAAACGTGCGGATAGAAAACGGTACGCCTCAACGACCTCACGAAGGAAACTACCAAGCCTGCGTTGCTCGCGACAATACGAAGAAACAACATACATAGGTAGGTGCTCTGGCAGTCTGTTCTGAATTACAGCACGAAGAAAGGGGTTGGTTTGCTCTCTAAGAAACATAAAGCGTGAAACTACTTTCTTTACAAACACGTGAGACAGTGACAGTCCCCCCTTACAAACGCGAAAAAACAAATTATCGCGACGCACACTTTCACATCCAGACTGCCAGATAAACACAGCAAAGACGCGGTGCAACTTCTGTACGTTTAATCTAGAGCACGCCAAAACCTGAAGAACATACCAAAATTTCGCAAGTAAAAAAATGTTACACACAGTTGCGCGCGTGAAAATGGACATTTCCCAACCTCTCCATTTACTAGACTTCTCGCGTATTTCCTCAACTACCGAAACCCAGTACGCATTGGAGTTTTTGTAATGCTGCAGTGGAACACCAAGATACCTGGCCGGCGTCGACGTAAAATTTATACCTTGAAAAACATCTGGTTTGGTAGCCCATGATCCGTGCCAAAGGCCACAACACTTCTGCCAATTGACAGCCGCACCAGTCACTTCGCAATAGTCCTTCACCTCTCGAGCTGCCTCGACAATACTTTTCTTATCCTTGCAGAATAGAACAACATCATCCGCGTAAGCGAGAAGTTTGATTTCTATATTTTGGAGTGAAAACCCTTTAACAAGACTGTTATTCATTACGCTTCTGCAAAATGGCTCTAAATAAATGCTAAATAGCAACGGCGACAACGGACATCCTTGCTTGACTGATGACTCGACACTAATGCGCGGTGTCGGTTTGCCGTTAACAACAAGCTGTGTAGTGCATCCCGTGTATACCATTTGGACAAAACTGAGAATAATTTTACCGACTCCAACGTGTTCAAGTATTTTATAAAGTACCTGATGTTGCACACGATCGAAAGCCTTTTCCAGATCTATCTGGAGCATGGCTACCTGGTCTAGTTCCTCATCGCACAATTCTAATATACTTCTTGCAGTGTGAATATTTGAAAAAATGGACCGTCCCTTAATACCGCAGGTTTGGTACTCTCCTACTATTTCACCAATAACAGTTTGCAATCGCCGAGCTAAAACTTTCATTAATATTTTGTAGTCTACGTTCGCTAATGCTATCGGCCGGTAGTTCCGGATGTCTCTTAACTTTTGCTCGTCGTCTTTTTTTGGAATCAGTACAGTGTGCGTATTTAGAAAAGAAGGTGGCAACGTATTAGTTTCGTACGCCTCAATTAATACAGCGTGAAGATGACCAGCTACGAGGTGTTTATATTTCTTGTAAAAGCCGGCAGTCAGCCCATCGGGGCCTGGAGATTTTTTTGTCGCCAGTTCATCAATCGCACGCTCGACCTCAGCCACACTTATAGGTTCTTCAAGCCATTCCTTTATCTCGTCACTGAGGCGTGGCATTACCGCGAGATACCCATCAAGTCGTGAGTCACTGCCGTGATCCTGCCGCCGGAAGAGATTACTGTAGTAATCAGTAAATGCCTTTTCTATGGCTTCGGGACGCCTACTCAGCACGCCGTCGAGTTCTATTTCAAATATGTTTTTCTTCTTTACATAATATGCTTCTGCGCTTAATGCCCGTTTCGTTGGCTGCTCGCCCAAAATGAATTTTTCAGCGCGGGCCCGAACAAGAGCTCCTTTATACTTTTCTGCTTCTAGTTCGGCGATTTTATTTTTAACTGTCTTAAGTTGATCCGCAAACCTTCCTGGATTTTCGCATTCCAGTTTACATAACCTTTGAAGATCGTTGAGAAGCAACTTTTCCTCTGCCTTTTTCCAGTATGCAACGGTGCTGGAGCGCTCCAGGGCACATAATTTAAATTCTCATTTAAACCGTTCCCATCTTACACTCGCGGTGCTATTCTCGTTGGTCATTTCGCTAAACAATAACTCGATGTTCTCGTTAAATATCTCATCCTGGAGTAGGTTGTTATTAAGCTTCCATAGTTCCCATCGGAAGCTGTGTTTTTTACGTTTCTCGCCGACAACAAAAGAGACCAAGGCATGATCGGAAAAAAAGACTGGTAACACATTGTAGTCGTCAAAGCCAGTTAAAACTTCAATAGAGACATACACCCGGTCAAGGCGAGCATGGCTTGAGGACTGAAAATGCGTATACCATACACTTTCGGTACGTCTTTGGAAATTAGCAACATCCTGTAACATAAACTCCGTTATCATCTCTTCTAAAACTTTTGTGCTACTATCGCGTTGAAGATGTTGAGTGGATCGGTCCCGTACGTCGCATACACAATTGAAGTCACCTAACAAAAAAATCTTTCTGTGACAATCTAAATAACTATAGATGCCCTCGAAAAAAACTTTTCTTGCATTCGAGTCATTCGGTGCGTATATATTAATTATCCGGTACCCAACATTAGAAATGATACAATCGCATATAACAAACCGCCCTTCACTGTCGGCAATGACGGATTCAACTTGTGCATTCAACGATTTCTTTAAAAACAACATACACCCCCCAGACATTCCATTTGCGCGCGTTACACAAACTTCAAAATAATGTAAGAAAGGAACGAGAAGGCGCGCAGTCTCTTCGTCACTATGAACTTTCGTCTCCTGGATCGCGAGGACGTCGATCTCGTTGTCAATGAGAAGCCTCCTAACCTGGTATTGTTTTCGACGCGAGGCTAACCCGCGGACGTTCAGCGTCGCGACCTTCAGTTTATTGAAAAGGTTGGACGTCCTCGCGAAACAGGGACTCACATAGTCGAGAGACTCTCACCAAGGGCTAGTTCGGGGCCGCCTCAGCCGGCCGGCTTGTCCGGGCCTCTGGGTTCAGACACGAAGCTCGGAGAAGGTCGCGGGACTCTCTTTTTCGTTGGCGCAGACTTCACTGGTGGTTCAGACTGGCTTGCATCGTTGTCAACCTTTGAGGTGTCGGACTCCTGTTCACGCGGCCTTTTTGAGGCGAGCGCACTAGCGTCGACCATGTTGACTTCGTTGCCTTGCTGTCCCTCAGTCGCTTTCATTGGCGCCCCTTTCGTTGACACTTCGTCCCTCCCTGTCGTCGCCTTGTCCTTCCTGGCTGACGCCACGGCAAGATTGGCAGAGGTGGCGGCGTCAGTCGTCTTGAGCGGGTGCTCCAACCCGGGTGGGTCAACTTGCTGGGAGGTTCCGCTCACAGGCGTCCCGGTAGAAGGACCAGCTCCCTTGATTGTCTCCTCCGCATCCGCCTCGTCCATGAGGTGGTCAGCGTTGGCCTGACCAGCTCCGGGGCCCGTTGCCGCAGCGTAGGTCTTGACGCAGTGGGCGGCGTCGTGACCAATCCGATGGCAGGACTGGCACTTCGGCGCCCGGCAATCGCGGCGGATATGGCCGGTCCGCTCGCAGCGCAGGCAGAGTGGTGCCCTGCCCGGCGCCACGACGAGCACCTGCCCTCCGGCAATACGCAGCTGATGCGGCAGTTTGTCCAACCCGAGCCCAGGGTTAAGCCGGATGACAGCCGTGCGCGTCATTGACCCGCAGTCCATGACTCCCTGCACCCGCCACTTCTCGGTTCCCATTTCGGTCACCGTGCCGTAAGGGGCCAGTGCGGCTTTCACCTCGTCGTCGGGGACGTGATACAGGAGCCAGTGGAGCTTGACGCGGATGTCGCGGTTGCCCGGGTCGACAACGATGCATCGTCGGCCCTTGACGACGAGGTCACCCGCCGCAAGGGTCTTCCGCTTACCCTCCGGTGACTTGAAAGTCACGGCCCAGACGTGATTCATCTGGAACGCCCCCAAGGCGAGAACCCCGGGGAGCAGTTCCAGGTGGCCCAGGGCGTCGCGGAAATCCTCGACGCGGTACGGGCGCCCGCGGATGTCAGCGTGCAGAAACACGGTGTTCAACACCGCAGCTCCAGTAGGCAGGGGAGGCAGTATAATCTGATAGTCCGAAGTAGAAGCGTCATGCCTGTCACCGCGGCCCGGCTGGGCCGCTATCACCGCTCCGACGGAGCTCATGATTCACCAACCGATCGCCTACGCTGCCGGAAGAAGAATGCTTGCGCCACGGAGGCGGGTGGCAACCTCGATCTCCTTTGGTGGTGGCAACGTGTAAAGTCTGTCCAAAACGTCATTCCAGACGCCGTTGGAGAATCATTCGTCAGCACCTGGGCGCATAAAAAGTGAAGCCCTCTAGCCTCGCCTTCGGGAGGGCTCGAACCTCCAGCCTTCCGGTTAACAGCCGAACGCGCTAGCCGATTGCGCCACGTAGGCGGGTGGCAACCTCGATCTCCTTTCGCGGTGACAACGTGTAAAGTCTGTCCAAAACGTCATTCCAGACGCCGTTGGAGATTCATTCGTCAGCACCTGGGCGCATAAAAAGTGAAGCCCTCTAGCCTCGCCTTCGGGAGGGCTCGAACCTCCAGCCTTCCGGTTAACAGCCGAACGCGCTAGCCGATTGCGCCACGTAGGCGGGTGGCAACCTCGATCTCCTTTCGCGGTGACAACGTGTAAAGTCTGTCCAAAACGTCATTCCAGACGCCGTTGGAGATTCATTCGTCAGCACCTGGGCGCATAAAAAGTGAAGCCCTCTAGCCTCGCCTTCGGAAGGCCTCGAACCTCCAGCCTTCCGGTTAACAGCCGAACGCGCTAGCCGATTGCGCCACGGAGGCGGGTGGCAACCTCGATCTCCTTTGGTGGTGGCAACGTGTAAAGTCTGTCCAAAACGTCATTCCAGACGCCGTTGGAGAATCATTCGTCAGCACCTGGGCGCATAAAAAGTGAAGCCCTCTAGCCTCGCCTTCGGAAGGCCTCGAACCTCCAGCCTTCCGGTTAACAGCCGAACGCGCTAGCCGATTGCGCCACGGAGGCTTTTTTTTTTTTTTCTTTATTGCCTGTTTAGCATACCAAGCAAATACATGCGACACACAGAACACGAATGTTAAAAAACGCCCGTCCTTCTTAGGCCGGCGCAAATGGTTTAAAATGCCTTCAGGGCGACCAGACTATCCATCACAGGCAGCCATTCAGGCTGCCTTTAATGTACGCAACACTCTCAATTTTGGGCTTTGTACACTTTCCTGATGTACGCAACACTTTCAATAAAATAGTCCCTCATGGGACGTGTATCTGCGTCAACGTGTCGCACGGCCATTCTTGTTCGCCACATACTGTGCAAGCTCAATACCATGAACATGTCATAGGGCACGCCCCCTTCACTGCTAATGGGGAGGAAACGAATGCCATACTCTGTTATTGGCAGATCCTTTTTCAGAGTTCGTTGTAAAATGTCCCAATGGAATACTGCATCCCAGCAGTCCAAGAAGATGTGGTGTATAGTTTCTCGTTTTCGACATAACAGACAGTCAACTGACCAGGGAACAAATATTCCTTTTTCCTCAAGCCAGGGTTTAACAGGGAGTGTGCCACTATGCAGCAGAAAAAAGAACGTTTTTACAGATGGCCTAACAGGCATTTTCTTTAGTCTTTTGAGAACATCTTTGCCAGGGCCAGCGCAATAAGAAGATCGGTAAAGAGGCTCTGGCAACACCACGTCTACCAAGTCTCTGTACAAACGTTTTCGCGATACAACACTCAGGTACTCCAATGAAAAACGCACCTTCAGGAACTGGAAGGCTCGGACAACTTCATGCAAAAAACCACGCATCCCAGGACAATCAACCTTACTAGACGAGACAACAAAATCGGGTAATGCATGACAGAGGCGAACTTGCAATACAGTCCGCAAAAATAAATCCCTCTTATCACGCAAGAAAATAAAACGGGCCACAACCTGCCGAAGAAACAAATGGGCTAATCCCAACCCCCCACTTTGCACAGAGCGAAACAGGTTGGTACGACTAGAGCGTTCCCATCCAGATCCCCAAACAAAAACTGCAAAGACTCTATGCAATTTCTGAACGCTGGCCCTCGTCATCCAGAGCGCTTGAAGTACATACCAGACTTTAGCCACAACAAAAAGGTTACAAACTGTCGAGCGAGCAAACATTGACAAATCACGACCCCCCCACTTGAGTGTTTTCGCTCGGACCTTTTCGATTTCCTCTTTCCAATACTCCGTGGTGTCACGGTAATGCTCGAGTGGCACCCCGAGGTACTTTGCCGGTGAACGGGTTCATTGAATATTTTCGAAAACACGAGGTGCACTTTCCCAGCTGCTGTGCCAAAATCCCACGCACTTACCCCAATTGACGACACTACCTGACATCTTACAAAATAAATTAGCCACCCTTACGAGTTCTCTAACACTTTCTGTATCCTCACAGAAAACAGCTATATCATCCGCGTAGGCAAGAACCTTAACTTCACTCGACATCAACCGAAAGCCCCTTATCCGTTCATTATACAAAAGCTTTAAACAAAACGGTTCGAGGTAAACAGCAAACAACAGGGGTGATAACGGGCACCCCTGTCTGACCGACGACTGAACTTGAAATCTTTTACTAACTTTTAATAATAATGCTCGAAAAACAGTCTGTGTAAGACATCTTAACCCCCTCTAGAATTACCGAGCCAACATTGACGTGCTCTAAAATGCGGAAAAGAACATCATGCACAACGCGATCGAAAGGCTTTTCCAAGTCGAGTTGCAGCATGGCTACTCGCCCTTGAAATGCATCGCAACACTCTAAAATACTTCTCGCGACATGGATATTGGTGAAAATTGTTCGTCCCTTAATTCCACATGTTTGATGAGGCCCAACAATTGATGATATGACGCCTTGCAACCTTCTTGCTAAAACCTTCATGAACACTTTATAACCTACGTTGGTCACACTTATAGGGCGGTAGGACTTCACCGATAAAAGCATCGCTGGATCGTCAAACTTAGGTATTAAAACGATATGAGTTTTACGGAAAGACGGTGGCAGTTCTTTTTTGTCATATGCTTCCATTACCACGCGGTGTAAAGTCACAGCTACATCGCTTTTGAATGCTTTGTAAAAAGCAGCGCCTAAGCCGTCGGGCCCAGGCGACTTTCCAGGAGTTAGTTCATCGATTGCCCGTTCAATTTCTTGCAGACTAATTGGTACCTCGAGACTCGCTTTAACTTCGGCATCTAACTTGGGCTTGAGTGGTAGAAACTCGCGATCAAATCCTTCTTCTACACGCTTACTATGCCCCAGAAGATCTTGATAATGTTCCACGAATGCGCGTTCAATTAGTTCTTTTTCGCGAGTCATGGAGGCGCCGTACTGTATTTCTATTATGTTATTTTGTGATGCGTATCTCTTTTCATCGCTAAGCGAGCGCTTGGTCGGTGTTTCACCCAACCACAGACGCTCGGCGCGGGCTCTTATCGTAGCTCCTTTGTATCTTTCTACATCAATAAGTTCCAGTTTGCTTTTAACTTGTTTAATTTCTTTTGTAAAGTTTCCGGGTTGCGCGCTCTCCATGCTTAATACGAAACCTAGCTGACACTGCAACTCTTTTTCTTGCCGGCGTAAAATACATGATCTTTCGATCGCTCTTATTTTAACGTCATTCTTGAACTGCTCCCAAAGTTCAGCAAAGTTTCGCGTCCCAGACGCCAGCATTTGTCCAATGCGTTCTTTCATATCATTCGTAAAAGTTTAATCATTCAGAAGCTTATCATTAAATTTCCAAAGATCCCAGTTAAACCGTGATTTTACTTCTTTTCGCCCAATTGTAAAGAGGACTAAACTATGGTCACTAAAAGATACGTTCTTAACTCCATAGTTTTCACACAGTGGAACAAGACACGCAGAGACGTACGCCCTATCCAAGCGAGCGTGGCTCTCACGTTGAAAGTGCGTAAACTGGGGAGAATTAATATGGGACAACACACAGCCAATATCCTCCAAATTATTCTATTGCACTACCAGGTTCAAAAATAGAGCACTCTGATCCCGAACAGGCTGCCTGCGCACTCTGTCTTCTGCTGCGCACATACAGTTAAAGTCACCCAACAAAATGACAAGTCTTTCGCATTTTATGTAATATTCAACACGTTCAAAGAACACTTTTCGTTCATATTCGCGATTTGGCGCGTAAACACATATTGCCCGCCACTGTGAGCCAGAAAAGGAGAAGTCACAAACAACTAAACGGCCTGTTTCGCATACTGTTACTGTCTCTTCAACAATACCCAACGAATTGCGCAGAAACAGAGCACAACCTCCTGACGTTCCAACAGAGTGACACACGCAGACATTGTATCGAGCTCTGAAAGGCTGCACCATGCGGTCCGTTTGCTCCACACTTTCAACCTTCGTTTCTTGGACGGCGACTATGTCTAGATCGTGTTCTAGAAAAAGGCGGCTGAGCTGGTACTGTCGTCGCCTTGCTCCCAGGCCCCGCACGTTCAACGTCGCGACGCGGAGAACTATCGTAAGGTTCACTGCCATTTAAGAGTTAGAGCAAACGGGTCGCATGGTGCTTACCTCGGGTTGCTGAGAACGGCGACAGACTCACAGTCTTGTTGCGTCGCTCGGTGCACCCACCCATGGGATCGCCGAACAACTCATTACATGCCTCGCCGTGAAGACGCGAAGCCGCCGTCCTGTCAGAGTCTCGTCGGTCTCCAGTTCGATAAGCGGTGCCTAGCCGAGCGCGGGCCCTCGCTGCTATGGGGGCGATATCACCGACGCACGTCTTTCCGGCGGAATGTTGGGCTTCGGCTTGACGGTTGCCCGGTGCACTGGAGCCGTTTTGGCGGGCGGCTCATCGGGGAGGGCCTCACCGGAGTTGGGTCTTTCGTCGACGCCTTCTTCACGAGCTCGCTTGGCGACAGCGCCGCTGGTGCCTGCCACCTCGACACTCATGGTTTCCGGCTTTTTGCAGGAC